ATGCGCCGCTAACATAACGCCGAGTCAACCAAGGTGTAAATGTTTACTCGCCACAGATGTTGGCCACGGCTGAGAATCAACCTCACGTTGCCAGGTCCACAGCGCGGTACGTACGTACATGGAACTTCTTTCACACCGTACGTAGGCAACCGTGTTCATCGGAGGTGCGGGGGAAGGACAACAGACTAAGCGCAAAAAGCATGTCTCCAAAAATTAGTTTTATATCCAGATGATTTTAAAGTTCATGCCTCCAGTGACTTCTTAATATCGGAGGGAAGAGCATTCCAGACGGCCGCAGAAGCGCATTTGGAAACGCGCGATGCAGTTGACCGTCTTTGTTCGATGGTTTTCAAAAGCCGTTGGGAAGATGAGCGAAGTTGTCGTGATGATTAATGCTCCTTTCCGAGATCAGCAAGGCATTGTGGTTCATTTGTGGCAGGCGATTTGTGTGCAACGAGTGCGACCTTTTAACGTATTTGTTCAGCAAACCGGGAGCCAATGCAGCTCAGCGAGCACGACTGGACGGACATGTGGTCAGATCTTGCAGTATTGACACTAGCCAATACAGTTGCAGTGGAAACGTTATAACCTTTTTTTTTTCAAATGAGCGGTGCCGGTGCGACTCTGAAATGTGCTGCCGACGCCAACGCTGGCAGCAGAGGCGAGTGGTACGCCTCAGTCCGTCAAAGCTGCGGGTTTGCGTGTGGTGGGGCTAAAGTGTGGTGGGTAAATCCCGCCTCATCGCAGGACGCGAGGCCAACCTTTGAGGAATGGGACAAACGCCTCTCTAGTGAACTGCCTCGATTCGGGAGTGGGTGGGCCCTTTCGCGCCAGCACTTGCACGAGCAAGCACTTGCAGGGCTGCACCTGTGCACTTTGTGGACCATATTTCGGCTCCGTTACTCGGGCCAATAACGACCGCGCCGTGGGGGGGTGGGGGGGGGGTGCCACGGCTCCGTAATGAAGGTCGCGGATAAACGGCCGCGCTCAGCAACAGCCCACGGGGGGCTGGGCAATTACCCGCCGCTCGTTGGGCGAATTAATATTAATGCACGGGGCGTATGCTGTCCAATCTAACGCTGCGTGCGAGCGAGATTATAGAGAAATAAAGGGAATAAAAATAAGCAAAAGCCTCCCTCCTCTCCTCCCCCTTTCTCCCATCCCTTCCCTTCCATCCATTTGTTTTTTTTTTATTCTACCAGGTAAGGCCGCACTGAGATGTGTAGGTTTTTTTTAGAAGCGACATGGCCACAAACGAAAGCTCAACGAAGTAGCTTATCACGTGGAGATATACAGCAGTCAAACACTATAAAACGTGTGTCGATTCTAAATGTGGAGGGGAAAACCGGAGGACCCAGAGAAAAATCCGCGCCGCTACGGGGAGAGAGAGAGACACGCAAACTCCAAATACACAGCAGACGCCAGGGTCAGGATCAAACCCGCGACCTACTTAATTCTAGATTTGAAGTTTTCGTGGCTGCAAGGATTCATACTCTTTGGATTTTCGGTAAAGTAACGTAGGTAAATTTTTTACAATAAATTAAATCACGACGTTTCGGGCACAACACAAGCGTCCTTCTTCAGGTGGGGACAACTTAATGAAAGCGCACCGCTTAAGTGTGCATACAAGGCGAGTGCGATAACATCTCGCCACCGGGGCGAAATGTTATTTTAGTTCCTCTTCCCCACTCTTGCCCTCCCCTCATCACATATAAATAAACATCCACGCACCCGCTCGCCGCCCTCACACAAGTAGGGCAGAGAACACAAATGATTCCCTTCTCCCCCTCGTTGTGATTTGGGTCTCCATTGTATCGGGCTCATGTTGAGCTATCATCAAAAAGCCAACCTGCGTCTTTGCTCAGAGCAAGTGCCCTGGCATCCACCACCTCCGAGAGAATGTCCCACGTGTGTGCCGAACGCGGGCTGTGTTTGGCACGAGAGCGAGCGTGCGAGTGAGCGTGGTGTTGCTACTGCTGCTGCTGCGGTGGGGAGTGCACAGAGAGAGAGATCGAGAGGCTGTGGGGGGGGGAATCTGCACCCGGTGCTGTGTAGTTTAGGTTGAGTGGAATGGAAAGCCTAATTCCCCTGCCCGTCTTGCTCTCAATGAGGCAGATGGTCGAGCTAATGAGCTGCAACTTTGCGATGAAAAAAAAATATGTTTTTTTTTACGGGGGCTTTCAAAATGCAACCCAAGTGTGTGTGTGGCATGTGTGCGATATGCGTTTAAAACGCATTCTTTGATATCGTTTTGCGCCTGTGTTTAATTTCAGTCGAATCTGTTTAGCTCAGCAGCCCCAGGACATATTTCCGCGTTGGCGAGATGTGAACTCCCTCGCCTGGTATACAGGAGGTTGTGGGTTCGATCCTGATCCCGACCCTAACGCGTGTGTACTTGGAGTTTGCATGTTTCTCTCTCCGTGGTCGTGGGGATTTTTTCGCGGTCCTCCGGGTTTCCCCTCCACATTTAGAAACATGCTTATCGAATGTTTGGCTGCTATACATTTCCACGTGATAAGCCACTTTGTTGAGCCATCATTTGTGGCCAGGTTGCTTCTAAAACAGAGCGATATGGCTCAGTGTGCCTTACCTGGTAACATAAAAAATGTGGGTTTTTATTTTTGTGTGCGGCACACCACATTGAGTATACATATTGCTATGGCTGTGTCTACTCGTACTCAAGTACCTACTCAATTCTACTGGCGATCCGGACGCTCCAACACACACTGTGATGGGAGGTGACCAGAACATTTACAGCGCGGAAAATGTATTCTTTAATCCATCTGCGCAGACCTCAGAGTGTTAAGCAACGACACTGCTTCAAATGGAACTTCGCAAACATCCCCTAAGCTTTACCCGATTGTAAGTCTTGAAAGTCAGCGAGGCTTTTATGAGTAAATATGACTTCAATCGTCACCGACCAAGACTTAAATTCTCATACCTCCATCGTGATCATCGTCAACCATTGTTTCGCGGTGCTCTGATACCAAACGATCAATCTCGGTGGCGAGATGTTAACTCTCTCGCCTGGTATATAGGAGGTCGTGCTTTCGATCCCAACCCTGATAATAATAAAACAGCTTAGTATAGTAATAAAAAAACATCGTTCAGTTTTTCTTTTTTAGTACATCTTAATACGTGAACGGATCTCATCGATCCATCTCCGTTGTAGATGTCCTCTCCGGTCCATTTCCTCCTCTGGCTCCCGTTTTGTCACCATTCTTGTCCATCACTCCTCAGCATCCCTCTTCGCCCCGATGTTTCCTGCCTAAGCCCGGGCCTCTACTCTGCAATCGTGTGTTGTGATAAGTGTCATTTGCTCGTTCTGTAAGCACCGTGTTTGCCCGCAACTTTGACGCGTCCTGCTCCGTTGTTGCCGGCGCCCCCCTATGGATCACCCCGACGATGTCATTTGTTCCTTCTTCTTATTCTTTCGTATGGGCTGATGTAGATGCAAAGTAAACGACCACGCTTTCACGTTCAGGTGGTCGAACCAGATAACCGCGTGAGGAGCAGTGGAGTTTATCTCGCTGTGATGTCTCCTTCGTGTGTGCAGATAGGGGCATTGCGTCGTTCTACGTTGTATGGTCTGTTCTGGATGACCACAGTCGCACACTGGATAGTTTTTTATTTTTAATTTGTGCATCGGATATCCGCATCTCGCATGGTTTGTGCGGATACGGCTTAGGGTGGACCATGAGCTTCGTAAGAGACCAAATCCAGGGATCTTCTGCGTTGGATCTTTCACGATGATGCACCACGGATCTCTCTTGCAAGCTAGCTGGGTAACCGGTTACATGGGACTGTCCATTTAACAAATAAACATTGATTGATAATGCTTGCTTACCCAGGATGGCCTCAGTGAGTTTCAAACCTGTTTTTATTGTGAATGTCCTGTCAACTTCTCACTATAGGGGTCGATGTTGTCGCTGTGGGTAATACCAATTGATGAATGTGCAGGTCATTTTTCAGCAATGCGATATTTGTGCAATACCAGTTACAATGTTTTTTTTTAGTTGCCAATATATCTCTTATCACATACATTTCATGTAAGCTATGTAGGCTTTAATGCAATGATACAGAGTACCAGATATAGAATTTCACCGTCTCATTCTTCATCCTGCATCTCCGATTAGCACGATTGGTTACGTACGGTGCGAAGTAGGTTCAACATACATACATCCATCCCGAAATAACGATGGCAGCGCTTTCATACGCAGGATTAAACACCTTGGTGTCGTTCTCTCTGCGACGTGTTTTCGGGTCGTGCCGCGCATTGATCGACACGATGTCCGACGTTTCGCTCCACGTACTATAGACAATTGCATTAAAGCCGACGTAGCTTACATGAAACGTGTGTGATCAGAGCCGTGCAAACTGGCGCAGTTGGCACCTCCGTGTTGTGTTTTCTTTTTTTTTAAATAAAATCAAGAGAGCATTCTTCGTCATTGAAGAAACGCTGCTAATGCCCTCCCACCACCCTCCCCAAATGAAAGAGGAAGCAGTCGCGACGCCAGTATCCAGAGCACAGAAGCATATTTATGTATTTCCACATGAAAAATAAATAACAAGAACAAGGCGCAAACTTCAAAAAACACCGAACAATACCAAAATAGACGCGCATAGCCCACGAAAGTCCATCATTCGAGCAATAACAGCCTGACATATGGCAGATGAACATTTGCATTCAAACTCTTAGTTCTTTCGGTAAAGTCACGTAGGTAAAAAATGAAATAAAAATTAATAAAAATAAAACAATAAAATCACGACGTTTCGGAGGCAACACAAGTCTCCGTCATCAGGTGGGACCGTCACAGCCAGCAAATCTGTCATCAAGTGGGACCGTCACAGCCAGCAAATCTGGCTGTGACGGTCCCCCCTGATGACGGAGACTTGTGTTGCCTCCGAAACGTCGTGATTTTATTGTTTTATTTTTATTAATTTTAATTTCATTTTTTACCTACGTGACTTTACCGAAAGAACTAAGAGTATGAATCCTTGCAGTCACGAAAGCTTCAAATATAGAATTTGCATTCAACCTGTACGCGAGTCGAGGGTTATGCGAAGCTCGTGCCAACGCGCATGCTGGGAACATCGCTGCATCTCACAGCGCAGGTGGTGGGGTGTGCATTGGAGTGCACTGCATGGCCGCGGATCGTGATTGCGTTTGCTAAACCATTTTTGGTTCGTATGGGATTGTTTTCAGATTGGAAGTGGTGTTTAGGACGAGCAGATTCATCACACTCCAGTTTCATCCGCACGAAGAGTGCTCATACATACTGTTGCCCATACATTTTAACATTTTGCCCTTTCCAAAAAAAAGATATTTAAAAATTTGAATGTACACAACAGAGTAGGTATTTTGAATATCTGAAGACGTCAGAATATATGTTGATAATAAATACTGCTTTCATATGTCGCTTTAGAACCCAACAGCTCGATACATAAACCATGTTCCAGCAGCTCTAATCGAGTTTGAACGAAATAGCTCTAAGCGATATAAAATGACAGCTTTTGTATCCTACAGCGCAAATAATTCGCATGAACAGCCACATGAGAATTTCACAAGAGGGCTCGATTTCATCCGGAGGAGTTGTCCGGGCCGGGCTCCGGACAATGTCCCAGCACCCCCCACGTCCCCTCCCACCGCTATCCGCGGGCAAAGGGTGGGGGGGAGGCGAAGAGGGGGGCGGCAAATATTCAATGAGAAATGAAGCCCACTGATTTTAGTCTCGGTAACACATTCAGCAAACCCACAGCATTCGTCGGACGCGTCACTCAGGCGCAGGCTCTGCACGCGGCTCGGGCACCTTACGCGTAAAACATCAACTCCGGGATCTGTCCGCTCAACACCCCCGTGCCAGCGTCGCTCTCGGGCGCGCACTGGAACAGGAACGCGACCCCGTCGCAGCGCACTTCCGCGAGCCCGTCCTCTCCGCTGTAGCCAACCTCGGCGCCGGCCAGCACCGCGGACGCCGTGTGGAACACGTGCGGCTCCACCTGCACGGGGTGCTCGAACCACACGGGCACGGCTCGCGCCGAGTCGCCCGAGCTCAGCAGCGGCGCCGAGAGCCGAGCCAAGGTGGCGCCACGCCGCTTGATGTCCACCGTAGCCGCGCACTCCGCGGCCCCGCTACGCGGCCCGTACAGCCCCAGCCCGGTCAGGAAGATGCGGCGGTCTACCTTGAATAGCACGGCGTCGCAGCGGCCACCGCCGCTCCGGCAGCGGCGTTGGTCCGCGCCGCCACCGATGCCACCGATGCCACCGCCGTGGCTACACGAGGACTGGAATCGCAGGCAGCGCGACGTGGCGAGACCCTTCCTGGGCACGCACAGGAAGTCGAGCCTGGGCTTCTGCCGCGCCGTGTAGAAGAGGAAGATGCTGTTGGTCTCCTCGGCGCTGAGCACTCCCGACTGCGCGGCCCCATTCGCGAATTCCTCCACCGACATGGCCGGGATGCGGACGAGGTGCAGCGCGCTGCCCAGCGCCTTCCGCTTGTTCTTAGCCGTCGGCTCGAGCCCCTGCCTCTGGCACTCCGCGCCCGACCAGGCCAGCGCCGCCTCGAACACGCTCGCCTCGCGCGCCGTGAGCGACTCCCGCCGCAGGATCGACTCCACGGTGGCGCGGTCGAGCTGGAGGAACGACCGCGATCCGAGCGCCAGTTCCGCCTGGGCGTCGATAAGCTCCCAGCAGCGCTCGGCCAGGCCCTGCTCGTGGAGCGCGAGGCTCTGGGCCAGCAGCGCGCACGCGTTGTCGTGGCTCAGGCTGCCCTCGAGGAAGGCGCGACACGTGCGCGCCAAGCGCGCGACCGCAAACCGCTTGGCCGCGCGCAGCGTGGACAGCGCTGTGTCCACCTCCAGCGGCGCCTCCTCGCAGTAGATGCACCTGCGGAAGGGTTGGACGTGGTTATGCTGCGTATCGGTCATCGATCATCGTTGTCGTCATTGGATCCCTCCCCCAGCACACCGGCACCGTAACGCCACGCACGGGCGCTGCTACCATCCATCTGGCTTCCGTATGTCGATTCGCTGCTGGATGAGCGTGCTTCGTCACGCTGGCTTGTACGAGGAGGCGCGGGTTGTGCACACACGTGGGAGCAAAACTACGGTGGCAGTGCACAAGTCGACTTCGCTACACCGCCCTCTGCTGCCAACCGCGTGGCGACACGCAGCCTCCCTCTCGTGACCGTATCGGGGGGGGATCCCGACCGGTTTCGGTCTCGCGCTCGCGTCCGTACACCCGTCAAGTAAGACGCGCTGTCGACAACGAGGCGAGAGCCCAGCGTGCGCAGGGAGGAGGGGCAGTGAGCGAACGCGAGCAATGTTCAGGTCCGCGCGGGGCTCACCGAATCATGCTGAGAAAGGAGGCTGGCTCCACGTCTGGGATGTGGAACTCCACCTGGTCTGTCGACGCGTCTCCAAAAAACATGGCATCGAAGACTCTGCTCTCCACAGCCAGGATGCGCTGGCGAACACAACCGCGACGCCCGCGAAGTTACAAGCCCAGGCGCAGGAACAGTTGAACAACAGGCATTGAACGCAAAGTGTATGGTAAAATTGCAGCATTTATTGATTTTTTTTTTTACTGGTACTACTGTGGATGCAATAAAGTCAGTAAGTGTTATTGCGGGGCATTAACAGTAATGGGATAAATGCATAAATGCATTTATAATCCAATACACCCCCGTCTCTCCCCACAGGCATCATATAAACGTAGTCCATCGGCCTAATGGCTCAGCAATATCATCTCGAAGCATTTGTTTTACGAGCATGACTCAAATGACGAGACCGTGAAACTAGATACCGGGCCAGAGTTCTAATCGAATCTAATGATTCGTTTTTATTATTATTATTATTATTGCGTCGTTAATGAAAATTGCATCTCACAGGGCAAGCTGGAAGGTTGTCAGGTGGTGGGCTGGTGACAACAATTATTCTGCGGTTCTCTGTTTGTATGGATGTTTTTTTTCAGCCAATTACTGAGGCAAAACAACAGTAGTGCCCAGAGAAAAAAAAACGATACGTGCGAGGGAGTAGCACAAATTCTGCCTGAAAAAGAATATTGGTCTCGAAAGCCAGATGGACTAACATATTCACGCTATATTTATGGGGAGAGAAGAACTGATGTTTATCTAGTTATGTTATAAAAAAATGGCAGGTGCATTAAAAATGAACGGTGTAATTCAGGCAGCCAGGCAACCGACACTGCCGTGCGCGGGTACCTTGTGTGCAGGTACCCTCCGAGCCCTATCGGAAGGTCCCACGACAAAGTGGACATCAGCCACGAGCTCGCTGCTGCAAAGTGACCGACACAGCCAAGGTCGCATCACAGACAGATCACTCATGCCTACGAATTATAGACGGGTTTGACAGCATGCGTGCCACATGCTTACCAGACACACGCCACTCACCTAACACTCGCGTAACACTCACAATACACATTCATGTGACACTCACCCCGACACTTACTTATCATGAACGTGACACCCGTCCCTCGAATCTAACCACTCGCCAGACACTCACCAGACACTCACCACTCACACAACACTCACCACTCACCCGACTCTCACCACTCACCAGACACTCACCACTCACACAACACTCACCCGACTCTCACCACTCACCAGACACTCACCACTCACCAGACACTCACCACTCACACAACACTCACCCGACTCTCACCACTCAACAGACACTCACCACTCACACAACACTCACCACTCACCCGACTCTCACCACTCACCAGACACTCACCACTCACCAGACACCAGACACTCACCACTCACACAACACTCACCACTCGCACAACACTCACCACTCACACAACACTCACCACTCACCCGACTCTCACCACTCACCAGACACTCACCACTCACCAGACACTCACCACTCACACAACACTCACCACTCACACAACACTCACCACTCACACAACACTCACCACTCACCCGACTCTCACCACTCACACAACACTCACCACTCACACAACACTCACCACTCACACAACACTCACCGCTCACCCGACTCTCACCACTCACCCGACTCTCACCACTCACCAGACACTCACCACTCACATACCACTCACCAGACACTCACCACTCACCCAACACTCACCCAACACTCACCACTTACACAACACTCACCACTCACCAGACACTCACCACTCACACAACACTTACCACTCACCAGACACTCATCACTCACACAACACTCACCACTCACCAGACACTCACCACTCACCCACCACTCAGCATTCACCAGACACACAACACCCACCACTCACCACTCACACAACACTCACCACTCACCAGACACTCACCACTCACCCAACACTCACCACTCACTACTTGTCAGACACTGCTCTGACACTCACCGTGACTCTGAAGCTGACATTCACGTCTCGCGATCATGAACAGGCTTGGCTGTATGCACGATATTCGCTCGTATGCTTGTGCACGACTCGACCCACAGTGCTACAGTAATAATAACGATGTCATATCTTTACCCAGGAGAGCGTCACGAAGCCCTCTTTCCACTTTGGGAAGTTTGACAAATTCAATTGGTGAGTGCTGGCATCTAGAAGGAGAGCGGAGTAACCGAATAAACTCCACGCATATAAAAGGGGGTAAAGCACAACGCTCTGCACAGAAAGATGCAATCACCCATTGCCGGTGAGATATTTACCATCGGGCATATGCACGGAGTGTCGATATCAATTCAACTGAACTCACCCTAAGAGAGTTCCACTAAAGGACACGTCGGTCCACTCCAGATCAAGGTGAAGACAAATTAATTACGCCCAGTCCCGTTGACGCCACTCAACCTCGCCTTAGCCTCCTGCTGCCAACCCCACCGCCTGTTGCAAGTACGACAATCGCCCATCCTCCAAGGACGTTTCGCTTCAAGCACGTCTCTCTGGCAAGCCGTCAACACCCATCACCAACCCCCTGCTCTCGAGACCCTACTCCCTCCCCTGCCTGGAGGAATCGCCCCTGCGCTGAACCCAGCTTTCCGCCACCACTCAGGTGCCGGCGTGTTGACGTGACTGCGCTTTGCACCTTTCCGCGAAGGGGCGGCGGGACACCGGCTCGCGCTCGCCAGCCGCCTCGGCGAACCTCGTCTCCGCGGAGCAGTCGGCTCCCGGAGCGCCGCCCTGGCGCTCGTCCGGCGTCCTGCCTCGCTTCTTGGTCGCGCCCCGAGCGCTGCTGTGGAACTCGCAGCAGACCGGCAGCCGCTTCGCCTTGGCCATCTTCTTCATCTTGGACCTCTTCAGCGCCTCCGGGAGCAGCGTGAAGATCGCGTGGAGGCACCTCATGCCGCCGCCGCCGCTGCTACCAGCGCTGCCAGGGCTGCCCGCGTTGCCAGCGCCTGGGCTGCGCGGCTCGTCCGCGTCCTGGGGGCCGGCGGGCGAGCCCCGCGACCACCGCGGCCAAGACGACCCCGTGGGAGACGGAGCGAGGCGAACTCGGCGCCGCGTGGACCTCGGCACGGCGAGACGGGGAAGGGCTGAGCGCGCTGCGGGCAGACGCGACGCCTTTCAGCGCCCTGGACAGCGCCGCACACTCACGCCGTCCCCGTCTCTATACTGCCGACAAACGGCTCAGCAAAGCAAGCGGTTGTGTGCGTGTATATATACACACACACACGAACTGTGTTTAATTATATATATATATACTTATCTTTCACGCGGTATCGTGTTTTTTAATTAACAGCGGTGCTTTGCCCCTAGCCTCCGAGCGCCGCGAGCTACAGCGCAGAGCTGTGCACGCCCGGCGCCGCGACTCCCATCGCTTGGCTCAGGCGCGCGCGCGCGATCCCCCACCGCGATAGCGCTCACATTGAAGCGTAGACGGGGCTTCTTTGCACGCATGCCCATGCCCCACCGCCTCCACACGCCACGCGCCGGTTACGCAATGATTGCTCAGCCTCGGGGGTGTCTCGCACGCGTGTGTGCGTGCGTGCGCGTGCGTGTGTATGTTCGTCCGGGCATGCGTGTGTGATGGGGGTTGGGGGGGGGGAGAAGTCGAAGGGAGGATGGGTTGAAAGAAGAACCTCCCTCTCCCTCCTGCACCTCCCCTCCCTGACACCACAACCGCTATACACGAATACTTTATTCAAATTGCCACGTTATCATACAAATTAACACATTGGAATGATTGTTTGTGTATATGTAACCGTTGTGTGTATGGGCGAAGCGGTAGGGTAGTGATTAGCGTACTGCCCTAAGAATACTGCGATCCGAGTTCAATTCCCGCTAACAGCAGTGGCGAACATCTGAACCGGTTCTAGGCCTCCCCTATGTGGACTCAGCCTTAAACGAGTACGTACAGTACTTGGTTCGGTGTTAAAACATCAGCATTGGGAAGACAAAAGCGGCCGGTATTGTAGTTGTGCTACCCACTCCCTCGTGTGCCGTGCCGGCCTTCATTAGGTTCTCGCTAACAGCACTTGCCCCAACACTCTGTTCAGGCTACACGGAGGATCTTTGTCTTTGTAATATGCGTAGTGCAGCGTTTCACCCACTTTGTTGCTGTTGACTAGGTGTGGGGGTGGAGGGCTTCATCCAACAGTGGATGAACCATGGCTAATTCCTATGGCGATGTCTGACCATGGCCATTCTGTATACGTGGCGCTTCAACCGTGAACACTCCGAACGCAGAGAAGGTGGCCACCTAGGAGAAGAAACGAGAGATCAGCCACGCGTGCGTGTGGCCAAGCAGATCATGATCGCATCGCAGGATCGCGAGAGAGATGTCGCCTGCTTGGTGAGAGGCCCCTAACCGTCCAGCAGTGGATTGACCACGGTTGACATCTACGATGCCGACGATGTCCGAGGGGCCACTCGGTAAAACTAAAAAATAATTGTGCTCCTTCCATTCGTGCTCAGGCTAAAGCGTGCGCGGTGGGCGTTAGTAGCGCAACGCGCTCCACGCAATCCGCAACCACGCAGCAGCCACTTTGCGACACCACTTTTTCCCCAGTGCTGTTCAATCTCGTTGATTGCCGTTGGCGTTACAAGAAAGTCCGTCGATGAGACGGCGGCGTTGCAAGCCGTGGATCTGCCGACTCCGCTCTCTGAGGCTGCGTGTTGAATTAAATTTTCATCGAAACACCAAGCCCTTCCTTCGATTCAGACGCGTTAGTCGTTGAAGCAGCAGCAGCAGCAGCCGTGTCTATTGCTTGTAATTACACACACACACAGAAGGATATTTGGGTGACAGTTGAAAATCCACTTCATCACACACGCCCTGCTCTGTTGTACCTTCACACACGATGGGACACGTGCTGGATTGCGTTACTTCTTACCCCAGACCATTCTCAAACCATCGTTGCATCGGCGCCCTGTCTCTAAACGAGTGGAATTGGATATCATGCTGATTGCATTTAAGGCTTTAACCAAGGGACTGGCTCAATTTTATATTCAGGAGCTAATTCAATCGTATTCCCCTTCAAGTCCTCTATAATTTTCCGACGATGCCCTTTCACATCTACCTCGATCTCGGCTGCCTTCTTGAGATGATTGGCCTGCTATTGCGTTGGCCCCCGTGTAGTGGCACCCCCCACCGTTGGAGATCAGGCTCCCGCTGTGCCAAGTGACCGTGAATAATTTAGGGACAGTTGTGAACCCGTGCCCGTGATCAAATTGCCTGGAATGTGCCCTGTCTCGTGTCAGATCGCAGAAGCCGTGGAGGGTTGAGCCTGCTTTGGTGGGCCCACCACAATGTATGAGGTTGCTCTGTCTGCGCTGCTCTCCCTGTGACGATGAATTTTTTTCCTGCAGCCATCCGTGCTGTCAACCCCCCCCCTCCATCCCGCAGCAAAGGTAAAGATTTAATACTGGTAGGAACCTCCTGGTTACACCAGCCCACAGGGGATTATTGTGTCCGTCGTGCAGGGAGAGGCTGGGTGAGGAGGGAGGGGCTGGGTGGGGAAGGGAGGGTGGGGTGGGGCTGGGTGGGGAGGGGCTGGGTGGCGGGTGGGGCTGGGTGGGGAGGGGATGGGTGGGGAGGGGCTGGGTGGGGAGGGGCTGGGTGGGGAGGGTGGGGCTGGGTGGGGGGTGGGAGGGGTGGGGCTAGGTGGGGAGGGGCTGGTCACCCCGTGGTGCCCTTATAAAACTCAACGTTTAACCTACTCACGCCGGCTTGTGCCCGCCCTCACAGTCGGGCATATTTGCGGAATACACCACGCCGCCGTTGACCCTGGCCATTGACCGAGCAACCCAACGTTCCTACCAGCTCCCTCCGCAGGAATGTGTTAGATTCCTCTTCTCCTTTGCCTATGACTATATACGTATCTTGCCTTCCACTTTTCTGTAAGACTATGTCTTTCTCTTGAACCTTACTGTTCTATATTGATTATCTGCTGCACCCCACTGTTGTATGAAGATCTCTTTATCTTTGCCCCACTCTTTTGTACAGCACCTTCAGATGTGGGAGGTTGATGAGTAAGGGGGGGCGGGGGCAGAAAATATTCCATGAAAAATTAATTCCCGTGCAGAATCCTCCTGAAAATTACTCTCTTTAGACACATTAATACCTTTTTTGATAAATAGAGGATATTAATAATCCTTTTGCCTATCTAAAATGCGTTTCATAATTCCACCTGATGGTGCCTGATGCGTAGATGGGACCCATATTACCAGCGTTCACGTTGTACGTTAGTTGAACTTCTACGGAGCCAACCGTGCCAATCGCAGGTGGGAATACTACCGTGCATGTGTTCACGGTTTGGGCTGTGCACCGCGTGTTATTTGGCATGATGTCCGACGTTTCGTTCCACGTGCTGGCAGCTTCTTCAGGAGCTGAATATAGAGTGACGACACGCGGACAAAAAACATACAAAATCATTACGGTTAGAATACCGCAAACGTTGTTTTCCCGCTGCCAGTAGTCGGCTGGTACGATAGTGCAAATGCGTGGTTTGCGTGGTCACAATCGCACGACTCTGGCTGGTCCTTCAATTCTCTGTTCACGCAGGAGATGTGCGCCTCGGCCTGCCGACGTAGTTCTGATGCAGTTGATGGTTGCAGCAGTGGCGAGTGAGTGGATGAGTGAATTTGGCGAATGTGTGAATTGGTTCCACCCAGTGTCTTTGAGGAGCGTCAAAGTCGGCGAGGTGTTTGTTCTCGACGTCCGAGTTGTTCCACTCTGTCCACCAGTGTTCTTCCGGATCTGGGTGAGATTCTAGGATGGTGACAGTGTGGAAGATGAACTTTCTCGAGTGCGGAGAGGTGAGCCCTGCTTGTTCTGGCACGCGTACAGGCCCGTTCATCAATCCACCACTCGATGAGGGGCTCCAGTAATGTTCAGACTGTGAAGATGATTTGGCCATACTTCACCACGTTGGTGACTGTTGGTTGGTTAAGGCAGTGAGCATTGAAGTGAGAGCAGAGCGAGGCTTTCTTGGGCAAATAATTTACATGAATAATTGATATTATTTATTATTATTTTGATAACTCATATTGTCATCAATATGAACAAAGACGGCCACTGCATCTATGCGCTATAAAGAAGTGCCGATGTCCCAAAAACGTTGCCTGTTATATATTTTACTTTGAAAGGCCACGGCGTTATTGGCGATTTTATGAAGGCTTTGTCCCATTCAGAGAATTCTCCCACGCATAGAGGTTCTCCCACCTGCATCACATTCCCTCCTCGCTTGGCATCACACACGTGAGAGAGAAGCCCCCCCCCCCCCCACCAAGCCAAACTAACTCATCACCCCCCCCGCCCCACCATCACGCCAACACCAAAGGTCGCAATCGTTTAATCTTTCCATGTTCCCATTCTGAAGCCACCTGCATTGCAAAGCTAATTACAGGGATTCATTTATTAAAACCTTGAATTGAGTAAACTATTAAACTAGGCTATTTAATTTCGATTTAAAGCTTTCGTGACTGCAGGGATTCATCTTCTTGGTTCTTTCGGAAAAGTCTCGTAGAAGGAAAATAATAAAATAATAAAAATAAAACATAATAAAATAATTCTCACGACGTTTCGGCCACAACGGCTTGCGTTGTGGCCGAAACGTCGTGAGAATTATTTTATTACGTTTCGGCCACAACGGCTTGCGTTGTGGCCGAAACGTCGTGAGAATTATTTTATTATGTTTTATTTTTATTATTTTATTATTTTCCTTCTACGTGACTTTACCGAAAGAACCAAGAAGATAAACTATTCAAATTTTACCAGGTAATGCCCACCGAGATATAAAAAGCTCTTTTTTTTTTATAAACGACCTGGAGACACACGATAGCTCAGCAAAGTGGCAGATCATCACGTAAGCATTTCTAGCAGCCAAATACTCTAAACGCACGTTTCTAAATGTGGAGGGGAAGATTGGACCACGGGGAGAACATACAAACTCCAAATATACAGTAGGCGTCTGGGTCGGGATCGAACCCACGACCTCCTGCATACCAGGCGAGGGAGTGAACATCTCCTAGCCACCGTGATGATGATGAGAGAGAGAGAGACGCAAACTCAAAATATACAGTAGGCGTCTGGGTCGGGATCGAACCCACGACCTCCTGTATACCAGGCGAGGGAATTGACATCTCACCACCGCGATACCGAGGCGATCTCCAGCGCGAGCGACGAAACGAGGGCGTCAAGCTGTGCTCGATCGGACGAGTCTTTGAGTGCTCTTGAAAAATCAAGAACAGAAGGGGATAAAGGCAGATTTTTTTTAAAAAAACAGCCTCAACCCCACCCCCGCACCTGAATTCCGCGTGTCAGCGTGACCTCTGCCGAAAAATCACGTGCCGTTCGGACTGGGATCGACGGCCGAGACGAAATCACGGAGCGAGCAGCACGTGACGGAGGCTGACTGGGCTGCGGCGAGCGACTCGGTGTGGATCCACACCGTGTCCACGCCGGGTGTGCTCGTTCGGCTCGTTTGATTGAAACATGTTTTTGGAGTCGCGTCGACATGTTGGTCACGCCGTTGACATTTCCACAC